TCCTCCTATTCTTCATCCAAATGGACAACCAAAAGACAGCAACCAAAACCGGCGCACGAATATGCGTGGTTAATGGTTGTTCAAACTGAAACTGAGATGCAGCAAAATCGTCCTGGACATAAATCGTGCAATATTGCTGTTGTTTGTAGCAAACTATCACCGGACCTGTTCTCACGATGCGTATCCCAACGATCCCGGTGGTTTAGTCGCCGTCATCGGTATGCTTTGAACTCTATGATGCGAGGTCCGATCCCCGCCACTGCCACCCAACAGCTTTAGTGTCGTCCGGTTTCATACCACGCCTGACCTAGCGGGGCTTTATGTGGTTAGCCACCAAGTTCCGGGGCTTAGGTTACCGGTTTCCATCACTGAACAGCAGATCTTATTGACTATGGGGTCTATACCCCGTCTGCTTTTTATCACACAAGTATGTCGTAAAATAAGTTGCAAACAATTTAAGCGTTTATTGGTAGTGCGAACCAAGACATGCATTGAGAAAGGAGGAAACGTGCTGTATACATGGGGTTGATCACAGTCTAGTCATTTGTTGGGAATGGGGGTTACGAGGGCGCCGATAGAGAGATTGCACAAACTAGTTTGCCGTTCTCTGTTCTTTACCCTGACGAATACGTATCCAGGACTGTCGAGAAAACGCCGACGTGTTCTCGTGATGAAGGCTGATCCTAATCCATTTCAAATTCAAACTGCGAGAATTCTTAGGGAGGGCTAGGCTTCCCGCAAAAGTGCCATATGGTCTTTTCTATGGAAATTGATTCCGGGAAAGACCTGCTTAATAGAATGAGTATATTTTTCACATTTACTGGGTAAACAACAATTGGGTAACTTTTGTAGTCTACATAGCCCTGCCGTAAACCCACTAGGTTACGGTTTATGAAACGCGATTTTACGAACTAAATACCTGTAGAAAAAGCACTGGTATTTTTGCAGGGTTTTTCACAATCGCACCTCGACCACAACCTACTGCTATTGTGGTCTTTGTAGAAAATTCTCGAACCAGAGGTGCCACTGGTAATGTCTCTCAAGGTTAAATCAGCCTTCCACTAAGGTAAGTCGTCGGAAACCGGTAAGTCTCACCCTCCGAAGGTAGTGTTCAATACTTTCGAGGAAGTACGTCTCATCTTGCAACGTGCAATGCGCCTCAAGGGTGATAAGGTTAGGTTTCTGCAGGATCTTGATTTCGAAGAATGCATTCGACTTCAGGGTGCACGGATGGAGCTTCGCGCAAGCGTCGTCAAGGGACGTGGAGGGTTTGCAAGGCGATTTAAATCGGCTGAATGGGCAATTCCAATCAACATCACTAAATGTTTACGTATGAGACTGGCTCATTGTGACCTAAGACCGGCGTACACACTGAAAGAATTTCATCCGAGGAACAGTGACCGTGAGACTCACTGATTGCAGAAGAACCCGTCGACCTCGGTCAGCAACTCATCGCTCATTTGATCCAGCCCTTCGGGCCTGCGTTGAATCAGAACCAACCAAAGAGTTGAATGCACTGCAGCGTGGTAGTGAAAAAATAGGATCAAATTAGACAAGCAATGTACTCCGCAGCGGGAGTAGCTTATGAATTTGAAACGGTAGTGTACCGTTTTACGAAATCAAGCAAACAGGTGCGGAATGGAAAACACTCGGAGTCGGAGCAGTACGCTTTACTCAACCAACAAATCTAATACATGAGCTGTAATAAATAAAAGCTTTATGTAATATGCAATAACAAAGGGTGTATAAACAAGAGAACCAGAATATAGCCCGTCCGAGGCATGGAATATCTGGTAAGTCAGTGTCACTGAATGACAGCGGTGCTGGGAGTGCTATTTTTCTCCTGTTTCCAGAGAATGTTTGTACGTATGTGATCCATAGAGCCAAGTTTTCCTCTAGCAAGAGGTAACTATGTGGATTAAAAAGATTGCGTTTGGTATTCTTAGGTTCATGTTTCCAAGCTGATGTAGTTTTTCTTTATTTCAGAGTAACGAGAAATTACCATGCTTCGCCTATTATACTTGCGCAATGTAGCGTTAAATTCTATCCGACGGCTTTCGGTTCCCCGAGACTTGAAATTCGATCAAGGCCCCTCATTTTATGTGCTACCGGAAATCCCAAGAGAAACTTCATTGTTGCAAAAGTTGACATGTACTGATGGATTGCCAGAGTGAGTTATCGCTCAACTGAGTAATTACTTTTATTCAGCTTCTATAAAATTACTCCGGAATTGGCTTTCAACGGTTTTTCGCGTATTCTTATAGACCATCAACTATCTTTATCAAAACTTTCGGAAGAATTGCAAAAGAACGATGGATCACTTTCTGGTCACGTGATACTGCGTCGGTTGAAAGAGATATTTCAACCAGTGGAACAGGCTTTTGAGGCTCTCAATTCTGTTTCTCTCTACGATAATGACCCAATGTGGGCTCTCATCAATGGCCGGTTGTTTCAAAAACTCAAATCTTCACGAGCAGAATACTTTTACTTGGACGCAGACATTTATCGAGCTCTCCTGAATTTATCTCAAAACCCGAATGACTTGGATGAAACTGAAAAAGGTGTGCTAACCTTAGTGACTAAAAGGTTCGCTTTTCTTGTTCAGCACTCGCGGTTATGACATTAAATGGCTCATTTCGTCGCATAAAAGCAAATGAAGCGTGGATCGAAAAGCTAGGAATCATTGGGGAGCTGTAATGGCCCGGTCGGGTTAAACCAGTAGTGAGAATCCACTGACCGAACTGGGAATCGAATCTGGGACCTCACAAGTAGAGCACAACCATACTACCCGGTCAGCCACCGGGTAGTTGATCATACTGTTTGTTTTTATTTTGCCTATACACACTTCATTTGCTCCGTACGCGACGAAGTTCACCATATGATCAAACCAAATCCCCCCGTACCCTCATAAAATTGTTAATTCACTGTTTTTATTCTTTAATTTAACTTAGGTTGCAAAACAAATTTACAAACTAGGTCGTTTCCAGTGTTTCTCAACTATACCAGTACCACATAGAAGTAAATTTATACTGACACTACTGTTGAATTTATTTCTTTTTCACACGTGCTAGAACTATTTGTTTGTTCAATTGACTAAGCTTTGTGCACAAGAATCTTGTATGAAAAGTTGATCATCTCTATAGTCAGGAGGAACGATCAATCACAATCAATCACGGACCTCCCAGCACCCAAGCGGAGGTGGTCGATACCGACTTCTGTAACGACATGCGTACAAACTGGGATTAGTGATCATCAGCTCGATTGGATTATGTATATCACCACAGGCTGAATGCAGACACAGGCTCCCATCAATCTTGAACAAGCACTTTGCATTTGATCGGCGTGAAGCATATACCATACCAGGATACCGTGATCACCATGCGGTTCAAAGCGTGTTGGACTACCTGTATGTTGGCACCCAGAAAGGCAATGTCATCGGCATATTCCAGGTCAAGTACTCTGTTCCTTGGGAGGAGTTTGACTCCACCCTTTACTTAACCGGACAAAGCATTCTGTAGAATATCCTTATGACAAAAATGAAGAAGGGAGATATAGGATAACCTTGTCGAACTCCACTGGAGACGGCGAAGGGTGACGAAAGTTGTTCACAGGCCCTGCCCGAACCTGAAGTATGACGATACAACTCTGAGAATCAACACATACATATTAAGTACTCCGTACCTCAATAAGCAGTTCCATGGTGCGGTCCTATCGACAGTGCAGATGTCCAAGAACACAATGATCGCTGGTCTGTGGTGAGTATGAGGGTGCTGTGGCAGCCATCAGAGGGTGAAGACTTGATCGATGTATCCACGACCGGCGTGAAACCCATCCTGCTCCTCGCATGTCTACTTTTCACCCATATTATACACTCGGCGGACAGTGACGGACGCCAACAGCTTTGACACAATTGGTCTAAGGCTTATACCCCTATGATTGGAGCAGTCATTGCGAGGACCCCTTTTTATAGATAAGGACAACAATTGACTGAATGATAGAATATAGTCGATACTCTGGTCGCGTAAAACACGCTCGAAAGACGTATGGTCTGACTAGGTGGATACTGTCAGTGGCACTATTCCACACACACACACACACACACACGACATTCCCATCCCCTTTTTGATAAATATCTTCCTATCAATGTTTCTATGGTAGTCTGAAATATTTGTTACTTATTCATCTTTGCAACAGCCATTTTATGACTAGTAAAATACGAAGCAGCATTGTGAAGGACATTGGCTGTGTTTTCGATTGATGAGTTTTCTCGATCGGTCATATTAGCGCAGACTAGTTGGAAAATCACAGAAAACCTTTATCACAACCAGATCCGCTAGCCAATATTTCTATACACATCGGTTTACTTATCAAGCTTAATCATCACTAAGCGTTATTTTTAATAGTTAAATTCATCCTTCGTGCTCATTGTTGTATGTCCTTAATCTGCTGCTTACCACCGCGCTTGTATAATCATTTCTTGGCTGATTAAGCCTTCAAATTCCTTTTTTTTTTAATTAACCAGTGAATGTGTTAGTTTGATTTCAAAAACAATACAGCACATGTGTACCTCGGAATATCCTCATCAGATTTGTCCGTGATCTTCCCGTTTTTGAAATTCCAACGCAGGTATCCTAAATGCACTTGTCTACGATTGCTGGCGACAGGGTGCTGATTTTGTTCTATCCGGACCGCGTGGTCTCAGCCGCACAAAGCTAGACATAGCTGTCACGAGTGCAAACATAGACGCCCCGGACCAATCTAATTTCGATCGTGTTCGCACTTTGCGTGGGCTCTTAACACGGGAAGAAGAACAGTTTCAGGCAATGGTTGTGGCTGCATCGTCGGTTACGGGGCCAGAGGCGCTCAGATCTCGATTGTCTGGTCGCTCACCCGATCCGTCCGATTTGACCTACGTGGTCGGCTCGGCGAATATCCCCATCGCCGAATCCGACTTTGCCCCTTCCTGTCCGAGCTGGTTGCCTAGCGCGCTAGGTGGTCGCGTTCACGGTGGTCACGTAGCTGACATGCGTGTCAGTCTCTCCTCGGATGCTGTCGTTCGAGCTGTGCTCAAACACTGTAGCACGAAACAGGTACTGTTTCTGGTTGTCTCCTTACTCCGTTCAGTCATCTATAAAATAGTGCAGTTTTTCGTTGTTGTATGCTGGATTGATCAGCATAGGTTAGGTTACTGATGGATGTCTCAAACTAAACAGCGGAGATCAATCTTGTAGCCGTGTGATTTGGTTCGTAACTGACAGGCATTGAGCGTTTCGTGTGAATTTTGTGGTCTGGCGGTAAAACTGTCTGCTTCAGACCAACTTGTAAGCATTCTATGTGAAGTAGCTGATATGTACCATGTCGTGACTCACTGGCAAGCTTGAACTCGTTAGCTACCGAGTTGAATCACTCCGTTGGGACTGAAACATCGCCAAGACAGGTCATCTAATGCCGGAGAAGGTCAAACAATGGAGGTCAGATATCATTCAGTTTCCTTGTCTTCCAGGCTTGACTGAAGTGGGTGTATTCGTCATTAAAAAGTGATTCCGTTTTTCGGTTTATGCAACCGTTTGTTCTGCTATGTCCTGAAGCGGTTTTGGTTACTGTTTACGAGATGAACGCATAGAGGGAAGATTTTTTCTCTCATAACATAACGTGAATCGCAGTAAAGAGGAGATCCCCATGGACAAAAGACGTACTGAAAATGCGAGAGTAGGGAAAAATTCACGTAAGATTACAGTTTATATATTCGGCGTTTAAAGAGCGTAAAGTTGTAAGTTGGGAGAAAGACACGAAGTGAAAGGGCGTTCCACAACTTGGCAGTTCGTGCAGATAAGAGAAGATTTGAGCAGAGAGGCAGCCGAAACCTGATAAAGGTGATTAGATGCGTGTGTAAGGGATGGGCGGGTACAAGTTACGGTAAGAGGAACTGAGGAGGCAAGCTTGGAAGAACAAAAACCAAAGTAGTAACTGCTGAGCAGGAATAATGAAGCAACTACCCGATGATTTTAGAGAAGGATGGCCGATCAGCCGAATGGCTTTTCGTTGAACACGATCAAGAATTGAAAAAAAGAAAACGAGGCCCCACCCCATGGGTAACTACAGTATTCAAGAGCGAGGCGGATTTGAGCTTTGTACAGTACAAGAAGATAAGCTGGGGTGAAAAGGCGTCTGGCGCGAAATAAAAATCCAATCATGTGGGTAGCATGAATAGCGAATTAAGCTCTAAAAAGGGACGAGCATAATGAAGAATATGTAGCCAGTCCAAGAAGAGAACCAGAGTTTTTCGAACGCAGTTGGGTGGAATCAATAAATAAGTGAATGTGAGGAGAACAAATGTTGTTTTAAGGAAATTGAAGGAAGAGTGGCTTTGGAAGCATTGTATGAAACGTGGTTGACATTGCCTCAGAAGGTGATGTGTTCCAGATCGGTGTCCAGTGACACATTACGTGCACTACGGTCACGATCTATGATGTTTTGCGCAAAGTGAGTGACGAGATAGGAAAGGGAACAGTGGAGGTTGGCTTCACCGGCAAAAGAATGGATTGGGTTGATGGTTTTGGACAGGAGATCGTTGAAAAATAAGAGAAAGAGGGTGGGCGAAAGGGCTGACTGAACCTTTGGGAACGCCATCATTCACCTCGAACGGAGATATTTCGCTCGCTGAGGAAACTATGCTGCGCGAGCTGGAGGGAACCCGAACGTGTTCAGTTTCGCCAGTAGACCTCCATGCCAAACTCGGCGGAAGGGCTTTGAGATATCAAGCTAGACCAAGCGTGTTTATTGAATGCAGCCGACCAGGATTGTGAAACAACAGGCCACCGGTGGAAAGACGCTGTCAGAAACCATACTGGTGGTCGCTCAGTAGTCCTTCACATTCGAGGAACGTGCCTAGTTGGTTGCAGATGGTGTTTTCAAATACTTTCGAAAGAACAGATGTGAAGGTAATGGGTCGGTAATTGTTGAAGTCAGAAAGGTCGCCGCGTTTGGGAATGGAAAAAATCGCGGTGTGCTTCCAAGGGGTTGGAAAAGTAGAAAGTTAGAGAAAAGACAACGGAAAATGGGAGCCAACTCGGGAGCACGTTTTGAGGGTAATGGGTAGAATACCGTCCGGATCAGGTGGTTTGCGTGTCGAGGGAGCAATGTTTGTCAAATTGTCCTAGTTCTCAGTTTCAATTTTTACAACCATTTACCATACACTTTCGTGTACCGGTTTCGGTTGCTGCGTTTTGGCCGCCAATTTGGATAAAAGAGCAGAATGAAGATAGGATTTTCCTAGTGTTAATAAGGAAAAGAAAAGGGTTGCCAGTAAAATAGGATGTAAATGGACGAGTAGGATAATTGGGTAAGGGCGGAAGCAAAAACCTCAACGTTCTCCTGTGGTCGACTTACAAGATCACCAGAAGAATTACAGAGGAGGGGAGTTTGAAGAGCGGAAATTACGGAAAGAGATCAGTTTTCGGGTACCGATGATGGATGAGGCCAAATCTCCGGCTTTACAGCTAACGAAGCGTTCCCTGGTTCTTTGGATCATTGTCGAGCTTTTGTTACTAGCTTGCATGAAGTGATGATAGTAGGTGGGCGTGGGCGAATGGCAGAAGGCTGAGCGTTTTCAGCGTACAACACGGTGACAGTTCGGAAATGTGCGGAATAAAAATATGCATACCTTGAAGAACAATGTCAGTGAAGTTGGAAACAGATTTGGCAACATTCGAAGAGAAACAACAATCGTTCCAGGGATATGAAGCTAGGAACTCATGGAAACCGTCCCAGTTGGCTGAGTGATAGCGCCAAAATCTGTCTCGAGGTAGATGGTGGATCGGGGCTGGTAAATCTAATAGAGTAAGAAACAATACAGATACCTAATGAGCCAATAGGAGGGAGAGTACAAAGATTTGAAAAAAGAAGG